AATTTAGGCGTTAATAAAAAGATTCAGTAGAGTGGTCATAGTGCTCTGCATCAGCAGCGCTGTCCGTCTCCCTGCCAGCTTGCAGACCAGCTTTTGGTTGATGTGGCGCGTCGAGTAACAAAACTCTTACTTTTCCAACTCCAACATCTACTGCTTGTGAAACTTTGAACATTTGAGCAAACTTTCCGAAAGAAAAACGAGGCGTACCAAAGCTGTACATCCAAAAACAGGGCGCACAAATATTTTTAGTAAAGGGCGTACAATGTACGCCCGTACGCATTGCTAGCTAAAAGCCTTCTTCAGGATATTTAATATTAATTTCAACAATACTAGAATGTTTTTACCAGTAAAAAAAACAAAACCTTATCATAATTTATCTAATTACAGTTTGCTGGGGAATAAATCAGGGCAACCTTGGATTAAAAATAATATGAGCGAAGACTATATAGAGGACTTAATAGTGAACTCAGTTCACAGACCGTTAGGAGAGATTTTCACTACTTTCTGCTCCCCATTAGTCACGTAACTCCTCCTCCACTGTGCCGTTCCTGTGCCATCTTTGTCCACATCAATACCAAACTGATAAACTAGTAATAGGATAAAGATGATGAGTAAACATAGGTCAAAATAACAAGTTTCATGATCATGACTTAAATATTGGTTAATTTCTCTCCATTGATTACTAAGAACACATTTGTTCTTGCTTTTTCCTGTTTTCAACAATCATTCAACTAAACTACTCAAAACAGACTCAAATCTACATCACCTTAAAGATTTACATGACAATACATCTGGTTGTGTGTAAATGTATGATGTGCCACTCACTTTGACGTACTGTCCAGCAAAATCTGTGACCTCTGAGGTGAAGCAACCGGAGGCATCCACAGGGCAGATCGGAGCTTGGTCTCTCTGGATGATGTTGTATTCTGCGCATACCCTGTAATCATCCTGGAGAGACAAGAATGTAATTTACATGGAGGTTTTACAGCTTTTTATTTAAAGATGTATGTACTTACAACCTTAAACTTAACGCACAATCTAAACATAAGTCATGATGAGCCCTTTTCTTTAATTTTCCAGTTTAAACGTGTCACTACACATCAAATTCCTTCCTGAGGTGGACAGCTTTTACAGCATTGAAACAAGTTCCTCTGGCATGTAGCAGCTATGCATGAAAGATATGAGCACTGCCCAGCTCGAAATGTAATTTCTATTCACACACCCTGTCAAGATCCAAGACAGATGACTCACTAGTTCATTTCACATCTAGTCATAACAAAATAAAATTTGAATAATGCAGTTGGGCGGTGTCTTCTTTCCGACAATATATCTTCAGAGTAAAAATATTCACATTTCAGGATTTAGTACACAAAAATGTCTAAGAGAAATTACATTTAATGTAAGAGAGGGAAAGAATAAAAAGCAAATGAAAAAGGCTAAAGTGAATTCCTTGACTTCAAATAAACTTACCACAAAAACAATTATTTTGATTTCTCTGATTTATGTTTAACGAGCAAAAAATACAATCATGTAAGTGGTGAGCAGTATTTTGTTGCACTAATGCCTGTGATAAAAACTTAAAAAAATATTATTCCCGCTTTGTAAAGAAAGGCTGAATGCCATGTCCTATTTTCGGCTCTCACACAGAAATCTCAAAGCTGGGATCCTCTGAGCATTAAATAAATAAAAAAATGAATACATTTTAACATTTCCTCCGATACGATGGGTTTTTACAAAACTTTCCTGCGGTTATTCTCACCAATCATTTATTTGATCAAATCCCCATTTGTATAATCTATCATTCAATGATTCCTAAATCACTTCACTTCCTTACTTCAATTTTGTTTCCTGAAGGAGACAAATGAGATTCAACACTGTGACGCTTCCCTGACAAAGTACCCAAAAGTTAATGATGGATGCATTTAGCTAGTGTCCTCATCTGTTATTCACCTAAAAGCTCAAAGTGAACAATCAGGACATGGAAGTATTTCACATTTCTTAATATCTATATTTTTCTTAATATCATTTTTCAGGGAACAGAAGGTATGAACAAAGTTTTTTTTTACAATACAGCATAATTTTCCTGAATATAAACTGATTGGCCACTTCACCACACAGTGCAGTCATTTGACACATGAACAAATTATGATTAAGATTTTGAATTTTACTCACGGCTCCAAAGTAAGGGGCCTGGTGGACGACCCCGGTACCCTCCTCCTCCTTGACGTAGTTATCCGTCAGTACCTGGAATGCTCCTTTCTCTGCAAACTAGGAAAGAAGAATTTCATACAGTTCACAAAAAATAATTAGCAGCAACATTTAGTATTTTTAAATAGTTTCAGAGTTCATGTACCCTAAACAGCAAGAATCTTCCTGATACACAAGCACATTCCATTATATTACATTTAAACAAAACACTGTAAAGAATCCAGTACATGGAAATGTATCCAGTACACATTCTCCTTTTTTTTACTTGATAAAGGGCTGTTTATAACTGGTAGCACTGTGGAGATTAATTTGGCTCCTCTGCCACCTTTTTCTAGTTAGTCTGGGCTCCAGAGTGTCATCAGTTCAGTCGCACATGTGACTAACAATTTGCAAATGTTCTTTTCCTGTGTTGCATTGTTGTTCCTAAAGCCCTCACACATCATCACACCGTGCAATCACAATATACACAAGTGTAAATTCTGTAGCACTGCAAGATGGAAGATGCCAGACTGAATTGCTTGATGCTGTGGCAGAATTGTGTCAGAAAGCTCAGGCAGACATGGAGGTTAAACTATTGGACAGCAAGTTATGGGTGTTAATGCAATTATTCGAATGGACAGCTGCAAAGAGGAGGAGGATGATGAGGACAGGAGATGTTGACAGGTGCGCTCATGACTGGGCAAAGAACGACGAGGACCCTACACACTGCAAATGTGGTGCAAAAAAGCTGCTTTTACAGAAAATAAAAATAAGAAAAATGTGTTAACTAAAACTCCTTACATGTCCAAACATAACACTTTATTAATCCAAACAGAGGCAGCTGCTTGAATTTTGAGGTACATTACAATAGACAAGTTTCCACTCAATTTATTTATATAGCTCCAATTCACAACACATGTCATTTCAAGGCGCATTACAGAGACAACTCAACCAGATCACACAGTGAGATTGGTTCAAAGTTTTCTATCTAAGAAAAACAAGCTGACTGCATCGACTTATTGACTTGCCAGCAATCCCTCAATCTCCTTCAGTTTCTGCTGAAAACTTCAGGGAGCTCAGAAGGAGAGAGTTGCAGATGTCAGTGTTTATGGTCCGAGTTGTAGTTGAAGACAGAGATTCCATATTGGGTTAAATAAAGTAATTGGAGTCATGTTATCTCCACCTGCATGAGCTGCCCCCTAACCCACGTAAAACTCAGGGAAAATAGTGGGATCAGGCACCATACTGGAGTCTTCCTTGCAGCATCAGGTTATTAAAGACTGAAGAAAATGAACCAGATCAGGCTCCTCACCACTTATTTTAAAAGGTACCCTGTTCAATGATTGTAATGATCTTAATCGGCCTTGTTGACTGACGTCTCTGAGTAAGATAATAAAGTATTTGCCATACAAGTGGACCTGAGCACCTCTGGCATGAATGCGGCCTTTTTTAGCATCTTTAAATGTGTGTCTAGAGAACGATAGAGAGAAAGAGCGCTATGAATGAACAGAGGATTTTTTTTTTTTCAAAATCCCGTTGAGGTGATGGGGTGGACTCTGTGGCAACAGGGCGGCAGCAGCATCACTGCATGACTGGCCGGCTCCAGCTGTACAGGTGAAGCCTGCAGTCTCCACCTCTGCACCCACCAGAACCACCAGCCCATCATTATTGCAGGAAGCAATCAGAAACTGGCCTTGATGAACATCTACCTCCATGCACACCAAACCGTATGTCAGCACATAGCCATCTTTGTCGGCATGTACAGGGTGAGGAATTGTTGAGCCATTTTCTCATATAATAAAGAAATGATAATGTACCCATCTTTGAGCTGTCGCCTTCAAATGTAAATAAAGGCTGACCTTATTCAGCCAGAAATAAGTAGCAGAGGTCGCTTGGTGTCTGAAGTAAACCAGAAATGCCCATCAAACTTGTCCATAGCTAACTGGAACCTTTCTGCTTGTAAAAACAACAGTTTGCGTATCACATATTTGTGTGCCAACTAGTCAACTCCTGAAATATTTGTTGGTTTATTGAACAAAATAGGAAAAAATGTATAAATTGCCTCTAAAAGAGATTATAACAGACATGCGGAGGGAGCAGGTGCACAGATGTAAACAAATAAATCAGAATAACCGACTTATATTTCTTTTATTAATAAAGAAAAAAATTAATAAACCAGTTGGACTCCTTTTAGGTTAAAAAAAAAAAAAAGAAAAACTGTAAGCATTCATATATGAGACAAGAAAACACCACAAAAAAGTCCACTTACCTTAATGAAGTAGTGAAAAAGTGGTTTGTACTTTTTTCCTTTTAGGACCTTTCCAGGAAATCTAACAAAAAGAGTAAAGAGGACATATAGTTAACAAAACAGATATCAGAATCTAGTAAACTGAGCTATTATCAAAAGGTTACTATTTATACGACATTGTAAAACAATTTTCAATACTATCCTACTATTTAAGTTGTGCATTTATATATCCTCCATAAGGTTGCTAAAGCTGTAGAATTGACTTCCCTTGATGAAGAGTTAAGATCATAAATCAATAGCATTCTTTGTAGAAACACAGTGAAGCTTTTACTCACTTGTCCAAAATGGTATATTCACTCTCAGACTTGAAAAGAGCTCCCAGCCTGGCTTCCATCATAATGTAAGTCTTATCTGTGGTATTATCTGAAAAATGAAGGGAAAATATGTGTTTTATGCAATTTATGACTTCACATTTTCCAAGATTTTTCATATGAAAAACAATTTTTTAATGCTCTTTAATAAGTTTGTATCACTGTGAAATGTATTTAAGACTGGAAACGGGAAAACTCAAAGTCTGTTGTGTTTTGTGGCGCAGGTTTGCTAGCATTTATACTATTTGCATAATTTTCTTTCTGTGACTGCAGCATTTTATTTTTGCTTAGAGCGTGCCACATCTGTTTATGTCTGCTCATAGCGTCTGGAGCTGGAATTCTATTTAGACTGAAAAAGGACAATTAAACATAATCAGGATATATGCTTGGTGAATACAACCTTAATTTATCATTATCAAATGGTTATCAGTAATTTTCTTTTATAGGAACATAAGATTATGCATTTTCAAGCTATTGAGGTTGAATTGCTGGTCAGGTTTTTGATGGGTGGGCATTCACCATCAGACACATACAGCTTTACTCAGCCAGAATGACTTGAGTTGTATTTACTGCCAATCAATCTGGAAACTAGCAAATAGAAACAAATTTCAAAGGCATGACGAACAGAGTCAGAGGTAACATGTTAGAACCAATCGAATAACTATGGGTGTGACATAAAACCATCTTTTTTTTTTTAAAGGAAATGCTGTTAAACCTGCCTGTTGCTGTACATTTTAAATATATATCTAGCTAATTTAACACATTATACACACAGTATATATACTTCAGCGATAGTATCTAGGTGTTACTTTATTGTATGTCTCGTACCATGTCCATTGGTTGTGCTGTTCTTTTTACATCTCCTTGCAGGTGATGAAGCAGACGGAAAATGTTTTATCATTATCTCCCTTTTATCTCCTTTCTTTCATCTTTTCTCCTTTTTTTTCCTCCTGTTTTTCCTTTCCTGTTTTAATTACATTGCAGTGTCCATATAATCTGTAAAAACTCCCTGCATAATTATAATAAAGCAATTTATATGCATAAAACAAGCGGAACACTATGGCGATAACCGTATTGCTCCACTTGTAAAAGTAAAATCTGTCGGGCTCTTTTTGGCATCAAGGCAATTATTCATTACTGCCACATCGCCAGACAGAACACTATAAAAAAAATAAATTAAAAAATTAACACATAAGAAAGCAGCCGTAGCAGTGTGTCGCAGTGAGCTTGTCACAGATATTTTTGATTTATGCCCAATTCTGAAGCGTGGTCTGCAACATGTTATTCCACACCTAAACGCAAGAGGGACAATCACAAACTAACTGTGCATCTAGATACGGCCGAGGCGGTGCGGAAGTAGGAGCAAGTTTGTGCGACAACGAAGAGACATGAGGGCGAAAAGGAGCAGGGATCCATGTCGAAAAAAGGTCCCAGCGTTCTTGCGCACCTCGCTCTTCTAGCTGTTCCATTTTCGCAAGTCGTTTTCCAAAACAGGGCAGTAAGGTACCAAACAGGAAATACACAGTATAGTGGATGTAGATTTGACCAATCAGAGGCCTCTTGTCTGCGGTCACCTGCAATTTTGGAGAGGTGCAGCAGGGTGTCTGCGACAGGGGGGCACATTTGTATTCACAGTGACACACACGCAGACGACCTGGTTTCTGAGTATAAATCAGCCTGTGTTTATCAATTTGGCTGTCCAGGGCCACATACTTCCACCACTGCAGGTTTGATGAGCTTATTCAGAAATGGTTTGTTTGGACAAGATGCAAAGAGACAAACGCATGAGTCTTTTGGTGATGAATAGATCTGGATCAGGTCATTCAGAATGACATGAAAAATTATGATATTGTTCACATATGGGAAAAAGTACAATACAAAAAAAAGATTTAGGTCATATTTCCCTGCAGTGTGAACTTTCCTTTGTGACCTCCAGAATGAGTCTTGACAGCAGGCAGGCCAGTCTTAGGAGGATTCATCACCTTTTTATATTTCTCCATTTGTGAATATTAGCTCTCATTGTGGTTCACTAGTGACCAAAAGCCTTAGAAATGACCTGGAAACCCTTTCCAGACTGATAGGAAACAGTCATTAAAGTATTTAACATTGTGACAACAGAAACATTTTCTCACAGGTTACCACAGGTACTAAAATTATTTTTAATCATTTGAAACATTTAAGCCTGACAAAATAGTGAAAAATAAAAAAGGAAAAAGCAAACATTGTTCTATGTATTATTGAGTCAGGGGGCTGATTATAAATGCATGTCATGCTTTTCACAGGTTTTCCTTTTTTTTTTTTATAATCAAAATATTTTTAGGTCAATGTATCCTATTCTTTGCACTTCACGGTTGTGCATTACATTAAACTGGCACATTACATAAGACCCCAACACCTTACATTGCAGTTTGTTGATATAATGTGGCCCAAGGTGAAAATAGGGTGTGAATACTTTTAGCAGGCATTTTTTTATTAAACTACAGCTTACTGGAAAAAATGTAAAGAATTTTAAAGAGGAGTCAAGGAGAACAGCTAGTGCGGCAGTTATGTGGTTGGCAAAAACCAAACGGCTTGAGCCTAGGGAAAAGAAAAAGGGGGACAGTACGTAGCAGAATCAATAAAAGATGTTTCTTCCCCTCAGTGGGGTGAAAAATGACAGCACAGCTCAGATCTGACGCAGCTGACAACCCTCAAATCAACCAGAGACACATGCGGCAAAGGAAGGAAACGGACGGGGAGCAAACAACAGAAGACAATTAAAGGTAGAAAGGAGAGAAGAGCAATCAGAAAAATTAGAAAAATGTAGGTTTGACGATGGAACAAGGGACAAAACGCAGGGAAGAGACTGTGCTGATCCCAAAAAAAGAACACTCATTGGTATTCCAAGGCAGTCTCTCATGCAGCACAGTCAATGCAGTGAGGATGAAACGCTACACTTCAATAGCGCCCCCTGCAGTATCAACTGCACCATTGGCAGGCCAACTGAAATCTAGGTCATCCATTTAAAAACCTACCAGTTATCTCATCAGAAAGTGGAGAAAATACAGCAGGAGGGTAGCAGAAAACAGCAGCCACCTCTCCAGGGTTTCTCTTTTCCATATCTGAATAAGGACAATGCTTTTAATAAGTGGCCTCATTTGAAGTTCATCCACATTTCCAGGTTTGATGTAGACACAGCCTCTGTCTGAATTCAGAACTTAAAATAAGTCCAGGGAGTAAAGGGCTAGCAGCCCTGTCTCCTTTCAGCCAATCACTATCATACAGCTATGCAGAAAGATGCATTTCTTTCTGAACAAAATAACTAATATTTCCAACACTTCATTTCAATTAATTAGATAAAAATAAGCTAAAAACCTAGTTCTTTTTCAGATTTCTTCCAGCTATAGATATTATGTAACACCCCAGCAATGGTATGAGGACATGTTTGCTCCTTTGTGGTGCGCTTTAATCTTATTTATAAATGTATGTAAATAGGTGTACAGGTTCATATGTGTACAAGTTGCTACTTGAGCGTTAATTTAGTTTACAAAATATATACATATTTATATATATAGAGAGAAATAAATTATCATTCTGCTCTCTGCCATTTTAGAGCAATCAGCTATCCAATCAGAGCCGAGGGCCATTTTTTTTAGCAGGATGGTTAAAGGAACAGCAGTTAATACAGATATGGCGACAAAACGTGCTGCAGCAAAGAAGAAAGTGTAGAAAATATTCAACACTCTTCTAAACAGAACATTTGAGACAAGAAAAGGTAGTGAAATTCAGATCAAATAGGAACATACAGTGCATTCAGATGTATTCACATCTTTTGTCAGTCTGCAAGTACAGATTTTAACGCTGATTTTATGAGGCCACAACAACATGGTATGCAACTATAAAGGGAAATAAAAATGTTGGGTGACCAATTCCTTTTTAATCAGATCTCAGAGGTGTAACATGCATTCAACTAAGTCTTTAGGGGTATAAATTTTCCAGTCAAACTGAATAGAGTTTAAATATTTTAGTAAAAGCCTGTTTATAAGTCTTACTTTTGGACTTTGCATGTCCCAAAACAAACTTAGAAACGTTAGAATACATACATATAATTTAAATTTAAACCCTTCCCTCGTGAATATGCATTTATATTAAGGCCTGTTGTTTCACCAGTCCAGCACTGCTCTGTATCCAAATCCACAGATCTTCACATTAACTCTGACCAGGTTCCCTGTCATTGTTAAATAAAAAATAAAAAAAAAATCACATAGCACTGTAGCGCCACCACTATGCTGCACCAAGATAATTTTAAATTAAGGGCAAGACACCTAACACCTAAATCAAATGGCTGCATAAAAAAACCCCAACATAATTGATTAATCTGATGATTATTTTTCCGATTAATAATCAGATAGCAAAAGGACCCTTAAAGAAGATTTTTTACAATATTAAACCAGGTGAAACTAAAACTTTTCCACCTATGGAGTTCTGGATATAGCATTTTGACAAAGTTTTTTTTAAAGCTTTAATGCAAAATATTCATATGTATATACATATATATTTTTGTTTTTACAATTTTGGTAGAGTTACTGCTTTAAGATAGTTTATCTTGCAACTAAAGGCATGTTTTAGAGTCTATACTCTAGTTAATGATTAATCCATTAATTAATTAGTTGATGATTATTTCAATAGATTGATCACAGTATCAGCCCTATTGTTTTGTTACACAATGGCTGAAACGTTCACCTACCAATGATGCAAGAGGTGAGCCGTCCGTGGACATAATTGGTAAAATCAGTAATCTACATACATTTGCTAGTTTGTTCCTTATTAAAAAGAACACACATTAGCTGAAGACACTTAACAAAACCATCGACGAGGGTGTTTTTTTTTTTGTTTTTTTTGTTGAATTTTTTTATTTTTTGTTTTTTTTTTAACTTGATTTTTTTTTTTTATTATTTTCTCCTCTGACAGTCTCCAAACAAGCTGCATTTTGGGTGTGTTCTCCCCTCTATCGCTCGCTCTTAGGGCCGTGTCTGGCCAGTGCGCACACCAAGATGGTTTTCGGTGCTGTTGGTCATAGAAGCATGCCTCAGCCTGTCTTGTATTTTAGCTTTTGCCAGCCTTAGCCTTTTGTTTGGTTTTAGCCAGAAAGGATTGGCTCTCCCATTTTCACTTTCTTTTACTTGTTGTTTGGGTCTTCCGGCTTTGACAGCCCTGTATAGGGTTGTCCTACTGCTGCACCTGTTGTTTCCCTTTTTCCATCCTTTAGTTATAAGTTGGGGTTGTTTTTGGGCTCGGTGTGATAAAGATTCTTAGCCATTTTGGGCCTTAGGAGAAACCTTGGTTACAATTTTTTTTGGCAAAAGCACTGGTATTTAATTAAGGTAACCTAAACCTCAACTTGTCCATTCTCATGTGTGCCATGTGTTTAAGCCAAAGCATCTGAAATACAGAACTAGTAAAGAGGTTCTTAGTCCTGCTCAGTTATATCAAGCTTTCCCTCTCACCTTTAACCTGGACATACAGGAACTCTGGGTTGACACAGAGGGCCAGGTTACTGGGCAGGGTCCAAGGTGTGGTTGTCCAAGCGATCAAAGAGATGTTCTCACTCTCAACCAAAGGGAAATTGACAATCACAGAGGGATCTTGGACATCCTGAAAATAAAAGCAAAAAACAATAAATTCTGGTTGTCGCTAAAATTACAATATAGGATTATACAAATCGCATGACACATCATTTTCAACAGAGCATAATTTTATAATGCTCAGACAATCCATATAGCTATTTCACTCATGTGAAATATTCTACTCTCTTACTGTGCAATAACACAAGCCAACTACTGTGCAGCATGGGTAATTCTTTAGTTATTTTATAAGGTCAGTACATCTCTGCAGTGCAAGCGCAATAATCCATGTCAACTACTATGTCTACCCCCATCTCTCTACTGTGCAGATATTTTTATATCTAAGGGAAACATATTCCAGGACATTATAACTTTTTTATACTTTTTTGTACTATATACACTCTTTTATACTGTCTGCTGTATTTTTATCTTTAATGGCAGCTTGCTTTAATTCTTTGTACTCTATATAAGCTACTGGAACCAGAATTTCCCTGGAGGCGCAATCCCAAAGGATATATAAGGTTGAGTCTATGTCCAAGTGTAAGCAGCTCCAAACATATAAAGAGTGTAGAGAAACTCTTAAAAGGAATCAATCTAATGGTTTAAGTGCATGCTATAATCTATAGGTTCTGCTGTTACATCTTTCTTTGTCATTTACTAAAAAATAAATATGGACTTTAAGACATTGGCAGTGCTTCGTTGTTTAGAACTACAACCTTGTATTGAGCAGAGTGTAGTCTGAATATCTTTTAGTATGAAAAAAAAAAGCTAGAAAACTTTTCAGTTTCATTTTTGAAGGCAAAAAAAAAACCTCACAAGCTAAACTCTTTAATGGACAGACCTACTAAAGGCATTTTCTAGATGCTATATTTAACTGAGATAATGAATTTAAAGAATTGGAATTATATGTTTACAAGGCAACACCAACATCCAAAAAAACAGATTGCATGTAAAGCTCTTCCTAGCTGTGTTTCCATCCAAATGTCATGCAAACTTTGAACATTAAAATATTGAAAAAAGAAAATGTTGATTAGATATTACAGCCTGATAAAACTGAAGCTGTCCCATCACAGAGAAAAGGGAGAAATGAAAACATGATATTGTTACATTGAATGCAGAAAATACACTAGTTTGAAAATGAATCCCGACTTGAGCCCACCTTGTAGTTCTGATTTGACTCAAAGTTGGAGAGGGGGGTGTTGCAGGCAGTGGAGTAAGGCATGACCTTAACCCCCTGATATACCAGACCCTTGTCGTACAGCTGTTTAAACACCCACCTAAAAAAAAGAAAGAAAAAAAATATGATTTAAAAAAAGTAAAAAAAAAAAATGTGCAACATGTTGGATTTTGTGTTTCTGTAATCCTTAAAAACTCATTTTGAGCTATTCTATAACAGTTGATGAAAATATATTTACTTTGATGCTATAAATGAGGTCTTGTAGATGTACTGAGGAATTAAGGATGTAGCCTAAACGACGCATTAAAATTCCAAATTAAATCAAACTCTACATGTGAACAGACTTTTAGTTTAACTTCTTTTTCTCAAGTGATTTTTCTAGGTATTAATTCCATTACCAATTACAAGCCCTATCTACATAATTTCTATGTATAACATCCCTAGATTTAAAGTTGAGTGACAACATTTAAAATCTTAACTATAAAATCATTATTTTGTATCTTCACACTATTGTGAATCCAATCCTAGCTTTGCAATAACATATAGCACATTATTTAGAAGTCCTGCTGCAGTCAACACAAACACCTGCTCAGCTGAAAGAGGTTAAAGATTGCAAAGAGCTGGGGAAGCATAACTTCAGAGGAATCGTAAGCATTTTTCTAATGTCACCAGTCCTATTATTAATGTAACAGTAATGATACTACATTGCATTGTTGTTTTTTTGTATTGTGTTGCTATAATCATAACCAATCCTGATTATTTTCAGACAGTTTAGGTCGATTTACTAATTTGGAGTTTTATCCAATGGTTTGATAGAAAAGGACTGAGCTTTTCACATCACGGATGCAAAAGTAAAACCCTTAGATATAGGAAAAGTTATATTTTCAGTAACAAGATTTTTAAGAACTAAATACAGTGGAATCTGGTGGTGGTCAGTATATAGTTATCGGCTATAGTTATCAACCGCTTATATAGATCTCAAAGAGTTTTGGTATACTATTTTTTCTATACATTTTGTTTTTATTTTTTTTTTTTATTGTTCTCGGGGTCTGCTTTTATTCTTTTTTTTTTTGGTTTTTTTGTGAGTTTTCCTCTGTGCAAATATTTTTTTATTTTTGTGTAGCCTAGTTATTTTATTTTTTTACTCCCATGATTCCTTTCTGGGCGTCTGCTTCTGCCTAGCAAGCTCGGACGTACAAGAACGCTTTGGTGTGGGTCCCAGTGCTGCGCGCAACAAGGAGGAGGAGGCGGATGAAGATGCAGAGACCGTTTTCCCTTCCGGAGCTGAGATGAGGAATGCAGATTGCATTTTAAAGACTGGTCTCCTGCATGTCGGTTTAAAAAACTTTGACCTTTTACATCATTTTGAAAAAGAAGTGAACTCGGAGTAGGACTGGGAACTATGGATAAATATGTTTAAATGATTTCGTAATGCAGCGCAACAGATCCACAAAACAAAACAGAGGTAGGTTGGTTTAATTTTCTGTAGCCTATGCAGATATCTTCTATGTTGTTGTTCTATGAAACTGTTTAAAATGTTATTTTCAGACATGTTAAAAAAAAATTGCAGCAGCAGCACAACAGAGCCAACGCACAGCACATAATAAGTTACGTAGGCTACCAGAGTTATGGCGGCCCACAGCACAGTATACTGTAATTAAACTTGCATGGTACTGTAATAAAATTCAGTAAATGCGGAAGCTATCCATTTCATTTCATTTTTTTCATTGAAAAACCATACAAATGGCATTTAGATGATATTCTGCATAAAAATAAGGGACATAATGGTGAATTCGGTTTTAGTAATCTACCGCCTATAGTGTTCAAATTGGCTCTGGACCAAAGTGATACTATAAGCGGATTCCACTTTAATGTTAAAATTACATGTTCCTTTAAATAAAACATCAAGTTTAAGTCTTTTTAAATGAATGTATATATATTATTCAGAAAAATTTAAGAGTTTAACAAATCCATACCAGACGGTCTCCATGAACCACGGGTAAAGAGTCTTGTAGTCATTCTTGAAGTCAATCCATCGGCCCATTCTTTTCACTGAGGTCTAATGGAAATGATGAAGCCGATGGTTAATACCTTTCATTTAAGACTAACTCCATGTTAAGTATTTTTTTTTTTTTTACACACACCTCCCACTCATGAGAGTATCTCATAACAATGTTTCTGCACTGCCTGTTGTACTCAGTGATGCCCATCTTGGCCACATCGTCAGGTCCTTTGATCCCCAAGGTTTTGTCGATTTCATATTCCTATAGTAGGATGAAGAATTTAAAAAATAAAAAAAAATTACTTTTCAGATATTACAACTAGCAGCAGTTTCTTTTTTTTTTTTTATGACAAAGATAGGGAATAATATCTCACCACAGGCAGGCCATGGCAATCCCAGCCAAAGCGCCGGTCCACATGGAAGCCACTCTGATGGGCAAAGCGAGTAACAATGTCCTTGATGGTACCAGCTAGAATGTGACCGTAGTGCGGCAGACCGGTGGCGAAAGGAGGGCCATCATAAAAGGTGTACCTGGTCAGGTGATGGGGAAAAAATTACCATTTCTATTAGTAATATTATGGATAAAGCTGAGCTCCAGGACAAATAAATCGTAAATGGTTATTAGCAGTTCAAACTTCAAACAAAACAAAAACATTTGACATTTTAACTGAAAATGTCATTTTGTGGAATTTTTATTCAATAATGGATTTGAATAAAAAAAATGAATAGATGTAATGATCAAATTATTTGTTTTTTGATTTTATCTACATCTATGATAATCAAAAGGAACAAAAAAGAAATTCTGTAATAACAAACCAGAACTTTGACAGACTCAAAAAGCCAAAACAAAGTTCATAATTGAATTAACCTTTACAAAATCTACCCCAAAAAAAAAAAAAAAAAAAAAAAAAAAAAAAAAAAAAAGAAATCAGCCACAAAATTCTTCCAAAAACCTTCAATAAACTGTCATCAAGCAACCTCATTATTATTTTTTTTATCCTTGAAGAAAAAAATACTATAGCAGTGAGTGGAACCACAAATGACAAGGTTAAGTTTTAGATTTCCTTCAGTCAAACATGATTAGAGACCTATGAACAATTTCAATGTTAAGCTTGTTTTCTTACTGTCAAATGCACAAAAAGCTTTCAATTGTAAAAGTCTGTTCAACATTTACAAATGTAAAAAAAAAAAACATTCAAGGCCATAATTTTTCGTTTACTCTAAAGCCTAAACCTGTCTGCTTTGGTTCTTTTCCGATTTATATAAACCCAAAAGAACAAACATAATATGACAAGCAGAGAAATATAATTTTGATCACTAACAAGCATACAAAAAACTTTGTCAGCCTTACCTGGGTCTGTTCTTGGACTGCTTGAGGCATTCCTGGAAACAGTCCCTTTCTTGCCAAAATTGCAGGATCTTCTCCTCCTCAGAAGGAAAGTTGATGGATTCAGGTACTGGCTGCACCATGGCGTCTGTCCACACATTTAAAGAAACAGCGCTAATAAGTATGTGAAGACAAAGTCAATGTGAGAGTATTGTTATTTACATATTGACATCAGTCAATAGAGCCATGTCAGGTTCAAGTCCTTCTCTTGACAACTAATGACGAGTAAGCAGGTGTTTGTTTTACATCAGCCACTGATTCTTTCAGTTCTGACATTTCATGCTAAAAAAAGCTTATAATCCGAACTCTTTATATTTGCATTTTGTGGTTAAGTATTTCTAAGTATTTAGTCCAATAATGTCCTTATCTATAACAATTTAATAAATCACTTTCTGGATTATACAGCTCACAGGAATGGCACATCCTTGTTTTAAGCTAGCAGGCTAAGCTAGCAGGTAGAAACTCAGTTGGTCAGTTTGCATTTAAAGTAACCGTAAAGTTTGTTAAATGTTGCTTTTATATCCCTATATTTTACAGAAATGGCGGAACAAGAAAAAAAATTACATAAAAAGTTATTTCAGTTCGAAAACACGCACTCACATGTACTGCAACCGGCTGCCGAGACACGAGAAATGATGCAAGCTAGAGTCAGCTCGGACGGAAGTGACGACAGACGGTCTGGTTGGCTGTTTCAAAATAAAACGTCTAACCCCATTTGTAAGACCCTCAAATTGAGTGAAATAAACGATCCCATTTATTGAAAAAACACAAAAACAACTAAGATGTAACGTCTTGTGTTTTAGGAAAGGTTAATGTAGTGTGACATAGAATAAAAACGGACAATAATCCATATAGGAAAAATTATGCTTCAGTCATTTCTAAGTCTCAGTTTCAGATTTTCAAAGCTGAGACTACCTACTTTATTTCAAATCAAGTATAAAAATAACATTGTTTTCACCCTTTTGACCTGATGGCTGGCTCAGAGCTAATCTGCTTAATTGTTTCTTTTCTGGATAAAATTACCTATGAAGCTAGTCTGCCTTTACATACTTTAACATAGAAAGTATTCCTACAACAGTTCTCCCTTGTGTGTTGGAGGCTGCATATGGCCTTTCACATTTAGTCTGGCTATTCTGGTTTGTTTTCTGTCAAAAGGGAGTTTTTCTTCATCACTGTCACTACATAGATGGCCAGTATGGAGAATTAATTAAAAGTCAATGACGATATACATGTAAATTGTATTTTTTAATCTTAAGAACTGTGAATTGGAAATATATTTTCAAATCCTAATTCTAAATGGAGATTTCAAAACCACAATTCATAAATCCAATAATATAGTTCCTAAACACACATTTAAAAAGCTAATTGCTTTTTCCATTTCAATTTTCTTTTTCACTTTGCATTTTTTTATATAATTTCTGAAGTTGCATTTTCTTTTTACTTTACCCTCTCGATTTACCTTTTCTTTGACCATGAAAACCATTTAAACCAATCAGAGTTGCTCCTCAGATGTATCCAGCTCTCTCAGTGGTTAGACTGCCACATTTGGTTGAAAAAACTTAGAGTTAGTATTCATGAATACATTTTCTAATTGCAGTATTTAATAATTGATTAACACAGTTTAAAATTCCTCTTTGATTATTTAATTTAAAATCTGCTACACAATTTATAATAGTATGATTTTACAGNATCTGCTTAATTGTTTCTTTTCTGGATAAAATTACCTATGAAGCTAGTCTGCCTTTACAGACTTTAACATAGAAAGTATTCCTACAACAGTTCTCTCTTGTGTGTTGGAGGCTGCATATGGCCTTTCACATTTAGTCTGGCTATTCTGGTTTGTTTTCTGTCAAAAGGGAGTTTTTCCTCTCCACTGTCGCTACAAGTATGCTTAGTGTGAGGGATTGTATTTGAGTCAATGCAATCAACTGGTTTTCCTTAGATAAAAAACTTTGTATGAATTTGATTGTATGATCTGGTTGAACTGTAAAGTGCCTTGAGATAACATGTGTTGTGAATTTGGCACTATATAAATAAAGTGAATTGAATTGATTTAAATGTTACATTTGAAGTGGCTGTTTTTCTTTCTCAGTAACTCTCCAGTTCGGGTCCTCCATAACATACTCCTATAAACTGTTGCAGAACAAATGGTCACAATTCAATATTCTTGAAAAGATTTATGTTGCATATTTTCTACTTTAGTTTTGTCATTCAATTTAATATATGCCCTTGAGATCGACAGCAGAACATGCTATCTATAGCACAGACTCTTCAATATTTTTAACCTTTTAAGTGTTCAAAAAAACAAAAACAAAAAAAAAGCATGGGCAACACATTACATGCTGCTGAAATGACCTTTATGCATTTGGTAGCGTGGTTATTTTTTTTACAGATGAGAAGGTCTGTATTCCACTTTATATTTCTTTTCATAATTAAGTGGAATAAGTAGGCTTTAATAGGCGTGTCAGTCTCTACACATTAAAAGGTTTTATTAAAGGTTGGTCAGCATATCTTCCAGGCAGCTCTCTCTGGAGGTATTTCTAGGTACTCATCACGAAATGGAAACCTAAGAGCAGAACTTGGAACCACTTGAGGGGCATCTCCCTCCTGGCATGAACATTTTTAAAGCAGATTGTTTTAGCCATTTTCACTCTATAATCTAAAGTGTTTTTCAGGGTTAATTCCTGTTTCTCTTCTAGACATATGCATTGGGTAATCTTTTACTGTAACCTAATGCTTTCTCTTCCCTTTTTGATATGAAAACTGATGCAGAGCTAAATTTTTTCATTCCTAGACAGAGTCACCTATAAAGCTAGTTTACCATTACCTTATCTAACACAAAGTATTTAAAGATCAGCATTTCTATATTCCTTTTGTTTCCTTCTGTCTGCTGATATAGTGCAAACTCTTGACACTAGGAGGCACTATTCCTAATAAGTCAGTGACAGGATTCCATAAGCTTGATTTATTTTAAACAGAAAAAGGTTTAATCTGTCTGCATGATTTTAATGTTCTCTTAAAAGTCTGTTGAGATCAAATGCATATCAAACTAAATTGACTGTAAAACCTTTAATTCGTGTCAGGAACCATCATTAAATGTCCCTGAATACTGAGGGACATTCCTTGCTGGTTTCCAGTTAAGCCATTTCACAGCTGCATTCTGCGTAAAGCAACGATGGTGCTGGAGAAAAACATTTTCATTCAACCCTCTGCAAATAATTTAAAGTACATGCTCTTTAAAGGCTTCAATGATTTGAATGCCTTCTCTCCTAGTGTTCTCTTAATCATGTCACAGACAAAGCATCTGGAGTCTGAAGAGGCTCTTTTAAAGTGTACAGAGACTAAAACTACATTGTAAATGGCAGTTTTTGTTTTTACAACCAGAACTAAATTAAATCCAAGTTTAATTCATACAGCTGAAGCTCTTTTACTGACTATGATGGACAAGTGACCTTAGAAAATGGGTTTGGCACCCCTTATCTAAATCATTCAGACTTCAGTTTTAGCTCCATCACTAATGACTGTCGTGAACTTGCTGTTGCTAAGCAATACGAACTACTATTGGATGGAAATTTACCAATACTGTATGTTTATGTATTAAGACTAAACTCTAAATTCAGATTTGATTAAACGAAGACATTTCAAATGGAGATCCAAGGATAAAAACTGGAACTGCATCAAACTTTCAATAACCTACATAAAATCTGGACACAATTCACACTTTTCATGAGCGACTACAAAATGTGACTTTTAGAATACTTTGAAAAGTTCAACCAAGTTGCGTTGTGTGTTTAGGAGACTATGGAACTATTGGTTCTTTATAAAATGTAAAAAAAATTTACTTAAAGATTGCAACTACTTCTGGGAATGGAAAGGATCTAGACAGTTTTTAATGCTGCAAATAACCAAAATTATTCAATTTAGAATTGAACTGGAGAAAAAAAAGGAACATTAGTTTTTTTCATTTTAACCTTCAAACTGTTTCTGTTTTGATGTAAAAAAAAAAAAACAAAAAAAAACAGCTAATATACAGAGAAGGAATACATATGGAACAAAACAGAAAGGAATCCCTTAGTTAACAAAGCATTGCTTTATTATGTTGGTGTTTGTGAAAAGATGACAAAGGGGAAGCAAACAGATCATTTCTGAGCAGCTGCTTTCCGTGCCGCCTTCAGACCCTTCTTATTATGCTTCTTTGCAAAACGCATGTTCCTCAGGAACTTGGGGTCCACCTGCAAAACAGAAAGATTAAAAGGATTTAGCAGCTGCACCAAATAGTACATCCTTAAAAAAAACAAATTTAACACAAAGGAACAAATTCTTTTATTGCAAAATACACACAGAATCATGAAATTTTGATGTAGTTCAGAATTGGTCAAAATTTGCCTGCAAATTTGTACAAATTTCATGTTTCCATACCAGCTCCACCAGAAATGAACAACGGAAACTGTTTGAAATGGATTAATTCATAACGGTACTTAGTGACTTTCTTACACCTATAAGAAAAACAACCTGCAGCTCTTTAGAACCTTAAAGCAAATAATTTAGTAAATATAGTCTTGTTCAGCTTGATGTAAGATTTTTCAAGCCTTAGTCTATCCAACTTCTGATATACTCATTAGGATCTAAGAGCTACATGGTCATTGGAAAAAGTATCCTCATGATGTAGAATAGAATTGCATTTGGTTCAGATTTTTAGATTAGATTTAGTATTGTTTCCCTGTTGCAATATAGCTAAGCTAAATGAATGAGTTATTAACAGGCTTTTGCAGCACATAAGCAGAAAAATAAACTGGACTATAAGGCCAGAGGAACAGGATTAGGAAACAGTGTAATTAAGGACAGTGAAAGTCCATCCAGCTGGACGAATATAGTATACGTGGCTCCCTACTCTCAGGGCGGCAGTGCGTTCACCTGCCTTGGAAAGTCAATGACAGTCCAACATTTAATTCACAGACATCAACATCTGCTAACAGTTCAGAAGTTGAACTAATGTTCTGTAGTTTGAGGTCAGTTAAAATATCAATGAGTACTTGATACTGCTAAAACTGTAAATCTAAGTAAATCACCTTTTCTTAAAATAAGTGCATCTTTTGTTGAATTGAGCAGGTAGGTGAGACACATTGCCAATGGAATAAGATAATTTACATAAAGAAAAAAACAACTGCAATTAACGATTTAAAGTGCATAATATCTGATCATCTTAATTTAAGGGGAAAAGTACTCACTCCATTGGCAGATCATCTTATTTACCTACTCAAATTAAGGCTAAATACACTTATTTTAAGAATGTGTTACTCTGTTGTAGATTATTTTTGCAGTGCAGATTATTTTAAACAGCTTACTCTTACTTAAAAACATTTAGAGGTTTTTTAAGTCACTCTCAAATTATTTTCTCTGGTACAGCTAAACCAAAGCATGACCAAATATGCAAATTAGCACCAAACAACTTTAAAAGGTGCGTAAACAGTCAACACAACCCTGCAAAAATTTAGCCAGTTTTGTCTGCCTTTGCTTGCCTCGATTTTCGCCCTGGCCAGGGGAAGCATTTTGCACGAAAGGCGAATTCGAAAGCCTCTTCGTCATGGAGTCAGCTTATCTTTTATTTCACCTCATCATAACACGGATTTAACTGGCTATGTTTTTACTAGGTTCACCAGATTCCCAGAGATGG